ATATTAATCCGTGCAAACCAAGTTCCACTTGGACGGATCGATGGGTATAAGCGCCATATTGAGGGAAACTACCTAAAAGGGTTTTAATATATTTATGAATCTACTAATTTTTTTTTTTTATAAAACTTATGAAACAACTGGCGATGATTATAAGAAACAACTGGCGATGAATATGTAAAAAACTTGCGAATAAAACTCTGAGAAGGGAGTTTTCAGCGAAAAACCGGAGTTTCTCTCGATGCTGAAAACAACTGTGCCAGGCAAACCAGAATACGGAAGAACCAGGATTCAGGAGGTAATAGAAAAGGAGAAGATAGTTTAGAGCATTACCCTAAATGACCGAGATCCGCCAATCTCTCCGCTGCCAATCACATTCAACTCATTTTTTCCGTCCCTTCCATTCCCCTCGCAGGCTCACAAAAAAACGGGGAAAACCAGATATCTATTGTAGAACAGCGGGGAGCGCGGCGCCTCATTAGCGGTGCACACTATTGCGGTGAGTCAGCATCCGTCAACGTATAGGTGGGAAAAAAACTAAGTAAACAAACAGACACGAAAAAGGAGGGTGGCGCAGGATGACCCTTGTAAAGAACTTAGTAAGAAGAAAACACACACACACACACTCACCCAGAGAACCCCTCCCTCCTCTGCTCTCACACTCACGCACAGGCGCAGCACGCACACCATGTGTGACGAGATAGAAGCGGGGGAAAACACAGTTAACTCCAGTGATTTAATGCACCAAAGGCAAGAGAAGAGGAAACGAAAAGACGGAGAATATATATATATATCAAGAAGAAACAGATAGTTTTCTTCATGGCTCTCTCTCCACACACACACTCACACGCACACACCCCATTAACAATATATGCTTGTGTGTGTGTGTGTGTGTCGCTCTCTCTCTCACTCCTTCTCCGCTCCACGAGCGTTGAAGTCGCGCTGCCCTTCCTCCGCCCTTCCTTAAAAAAAAAAACCTTCCTTTTCTCCTCCTTCTCATCTCGTGCGCTCCTTTGCATGGCACTTCCCCTCATCTCAATCCTTGAAGAGCTCCGAGATGATCCGCGTGTAGCGCGACTCCACGTTGCCGCGCCGCAGCTTCAACGTCGGGGTCAGCAACCCGTTCTCGGGCGTCCACTCATCTGCCAGAACCCGCACGTTCTTCACCAGCTCAAAGCTCTGTCGCCCAGCCGCCCGTGCCGTCAGCGCGAGCGAGGCGGCAGCCGCCTTGTGAAATGCCGGGTTCTTCGTCAGCTCCTCGAAGCTTCCCGCGATGCTGTGCTCCTTTGCAAAGGACAGGGCACGCTTCGGGTCCGCCAGGACGAGGGCCGCGACGTACGGCTTTTCCGGGTGCACCACCACGCAGACGCCGTTGACCGCGCAGAGCTCGTTCTGGCTGTAGATGGCCTCGAGCGTCTCCAGGGCGATGTACTCACCCAGGCAGTTCTTCGCGAGGGCCTTCACCCGTCCGACGATGCGCAGCTTCCCGAGTTTGGAGATGCTACCCACGTCGCCGGTGTGGAACCAGCCCTCCGCGTCAAACGCCTCCTTTGTCAGCGCCGGCTGCTTGTAGTACTCTTTAAACATGAAGGGCCCGCGCAGGCAGATCTCGCCACGCGGCTCCGGCTGATCGGTGTGCGTGTACGAGTCCACGTCCTGCAGACGCATCTCGCAGGTTTTCACGAGCTGACCCACGCAGTTCGGCTCCATGTCGCCCAGCCGCTGCGTTGCCCCGCAGCAGACCGTTTCTGTCAAGCCCCAGCCCTGCAGAATCAACGGGCCACCGCAGACAACGTTGATGAACTCCTGCGTGGAGGGGGAGAGCGGGCCGCCGCCGCTCAGCATGCCGTACACCCCACCCCCCAGCACCGCCCGCGGTGCACTGAAGGCTTTGTCGTTCCAGTACGGCGTGTCCTTCGCCTCGAGCAGCGCCGTCCGCCGCGACTCGTAGGCTCTATCGTAGATGTCCCGCTTTATCGACCCGGGCGGCGGCAGGCGACCCTCCACCGTCTTGCGAATCGTGTCGAAGATGCGCGGCACCGACAAGATCATCTTCGGCTGGAACTCCTTCAAGTCACCGTGCGGGACCGCGTACGCGTCCGTCAGCGTCCGCGGGGTGCCAAAGCCGACCAACGTGCCGCGGTCGAAGAAGATGTTCACCACCGCGAACTCCAGAATGTGGGCCAGCGGGAGGTAGGCGCAGTAGATCTCGCCGTTGCCGCCCGGTGTGTAGAGGTCCATAATGCGGTGGTTGAGCGCCTCGCAGCCGGCCGCGATGCTGCCGTGGGTGTGCACGACGCCCTTTGGGTCGCCGGTCGTGCCGGAGGTGTACATGATCAGCGCCACGTCGTCGCTTTCGGTGGTTGTGTAGACGGGAACCTCCGCGCTGACCTCCTCACCCGTTGCCACCACGTCCGTCCACGCCACCACGTGCAGGTCGTGCGTTGGCGTGTTGACAGGCACGTCATCCAACGCGATGACCACCGGACTCAACCCTTCCTGCGACAGCACCTTCGTCAACATGCCCACCTGCGAGCCGTTGCAGATAATTGCCTCGCTGTCCGTCTCGCGCAGGGCGTAGCGCAGCGCGTCCTCGCCCAGGTTCGCGTACACGGTGGAGGCGACCATCCGCTGCGTCCAGATTCCGTAGATGGACACCATCCACTCCCACCGCGTCTCCTCGTAGATGGACACCGTCGCGCCGGCCTTCAGCCGGAGCAGCGCGGTCAGCCCGCGGCCAAAGGCGAGCATCTTACTCCACATCTCCCCGTAGGTGATGAGCTTGTGGGGACTGCAGTGGTAGTAGTTGAAGATCTTCTTCTGCCCGTTTGTCGGGTCCGCTACCTCGCGCTTTTCGATGCTCTCGATCACGCGGTAGCCCATGGCGGGCAGGTCGGCAGAGACCCGCGCCCGCGACTCCACCCGCTCCACCCAGTGCTTGCCGTAGTAGTGCTTGTGGCACAGCTCAGCCTGCTCGGCGTCGGACGTGTTCGCAAAGCGGTAGATAGCGCTGCAGGTGGGTGTTTCAGTGCCCGGCAGCGCATCCGCCTCCTGTCCGTAGGCGCAGAAGTCGGCGATGATGGGATGCACGTGGACAGACTGGCTGCTGCGCCACTCCATCACGGAGGACATACACCCGCCCATGATTCCCAAGAAGTTAAAGAGGGAGAGATATAAAGAAAATATACAATCAAGATGGATTAACGCAAGACCCCCAAAAGAAAACCTGCGAGAGGTGCCTTTATTTATAACTTCTTTCTTGTTGTTGTTGACGTTGTTTTGCGCTTAGAGTTTTGAATTAGGAGGTCTGAATTTACGCGTGTGGACTTCGGTGCGGGAACCCCGAGGAGGCGAATGAGCTGACAGGTCCTTTGTTTTTTTTTTTCCTTTCAAGAGTTATTTTTGAAATAGACGAGGAAGCGTTGCTGCTGGGAAGGTGAGGAAAGGTTGAGGGGAGAGCGACAACAGAAGCAGTACGTAAACAAAAAAAAAGAAGGCGGCGTAAAGCAGATGTAAAAAACTGTGAACGACTCTCTCCTACACGCTGACACACAAACACACACAAACGCAAACACACTAAGAAGTAGAAGAAGGCGAGTCTTGAAACGACAACAGCAAATATATTTATGTATATGAGTTGCAGGAGCATTTGCTGCTCAACCATCACGAGGTAGCCGCCCAGGAGAAAGAAGAAGGAGAAAAGACAATGAAAGGAAGATGAAGGACGAGGGAGAGAGAGAGGAGGGGGGGGAGAGAGAATCAGAAAGCCACTCTTGCTGCTGTTTCGAAAACAAACAAACAAAAGAGCCTTCAACGTGTTCTTCATCATTTCATGTTTGCTGAGAGGTCCGTTGGTGTTTTCGCGAGGTAGCTGTCAGACGCCGCAACACGCAAGTACAATGCCTTAGCACACCACTAACTCTCCACTCCCCCCCCCCCTGCAAGAAGGAAGGGATACCGATTACAAACACACACACGCACACGCATTGTTCGTCACGCGTTTAATGAAACAATGCGGGCACGACGAAGGAGGAAAAAGGAGAAGAAATCACTCGCACAGACTCACCACGCTCACACTCACACACACACACACAACCCTGTTCATGCGAACCGATCATGCTAGAGAGGGCGAGCGAGCAAGAAAGGGCGAGCGATAGGAAGCGCAGGTGAGACGAACGCCACCATCATCACCAACCGTTCTCTTCTCCTCTTCTTGTTCTCTTCGCCTTGCGTGTGTTCTGCCGCAGCGGCTGAAATTGGTTTATTCTTTTTCTCTGGTTTGGTAGAGATTTTGAACTATCAGAGTGCTGGAAGAAGACGAAGAAGAAGTGGTGGGGAGGTATTCTCGATGGGGTGGAAAACAACAAAAGAGAAGACAGAGGACAACAACAACGCATACACAAACACACTCAGAGAGAGAGAGAGAGACGCACATACACACACACCACAAAAATCCATAGCAACGGTAAACGACTGATTCTCCTTTTTCTCATTTCAGAAGAAGTGAAATAGGGACAGCCCGGAATGACGCACAGACTCGTCATCACGCGGTGCAACCCGCAGCGACGCAACCAAAAGAATGTAGAGGTGTGGCTGGAGGAAAAGTCAAAAAAAGGGAAAAAAAACTCATGCAGGAGAGAGAGAGAGAGGTGGTGAGAGTGTGTGCGTGTATGTGTGGGTGAGTCGCGCAAGCGTTATGGATATACGTAGGAATATATATTAAGTTCCCCTCAGAAAAAACCACCGCCACAACAACAACAACATAACTCCTCTACGGGAGGTATGGTATATATATATATATATATTATCTTTTTCTCCTGTTGGGTTCATTCACTTCTCTTGACGTCCCCCATCCACTCTGCACCGCCTTTAACTCTTTCCTTTTTCTTCTCTTCTCTGTGGTGGTACGCATCTGCTTTCCGCGAATGAAGACGAGTAAACAAAAAAAAAAGAAGAAGAAGATCCCGCAGCCGTCACCGCCACAAAACAACAACAACAAAGACATCAACAATCGACAAGTGGTGAACAACGGTGAAGGACGAAACAGACATGAAGAAGAGGAAGAACATAGAAAACAAAACAAACAGGCCACTGACGAGCGGCACCACCGCCGGTGAGTGACAGCATTGCGTCTTCGCGAATGGTAATGATGCTAAGAAACCACCGACGACCAAAAAGAAAAAAATATAAGAAAACAAAAGAAAAGAAAACAGACAATATAAATATAGGTCTTTGTGTGGATGATGCATATAACATGAGAACGAAAAATACGAAAGCTTTTGGTTCTGTTTTCTTCGGGTTACTCGCTCGTTTCACAGCAACGAGCGGCATTTGCATCTTTTCTCCTCCCTCGCCCTCCCTCCAGTGTGTGCGTGAGTGTGTGAGCGCAGCGGTTGCGTATGCGCGTGCATGCCCGTGTACGAGCAAGCATCAACGTTCACGTTCATCATCTTCTTTCTCTCTCCATCGCGGTTATCTCCATTTTACATTTCATTTTTTTACTTTATACCAGTCACGTCTGACAGCTCCACTCGCAAACCGCTCCGCGAGTGTGTATGGCGCGAGGGAACGCCGGAGATGAAGAGAGGCGGTGTGGGGAGGCGAGAGGGGAAGGGCTGAGTGCTCACCGCACGCAGAGGGACCCGCAAAATGAACGACTGCAAAAACAAGAAAAACAACGGTAAACGTGGTTTCTTCCACAACAACAACAACAACAACAACAGAGCAAGTGTTCTCAGCGAAAGGACGATTATTTCACATCAACAAAGATACAAAAGAAAGAAACATATTCTGGAAGGGGAAAAACCAAACAACAAAGAAAGTAGAGCCGTTAGAAGGAATCAGAAACCACTTGAAAAAACGAAAAGAAAGAGTTCAAATTGGCAGGCGATGTGATTGGTGATTGGTGATTGATTGCGGTGGAGGTGCTGAGAGCCAACGACGCCGTCGCAAACACGGCGCAGACACACACACACCTCACGTACAGCGAAACGAGAACGTCGTCCGAAAGAAGAAAAGAAAAAAACAGAAAGGAGAAAGAACAACAACAGCGAAGAGAAAAATAGATAAATAGGTAAACAGACGAAGCAATCAAGGAACGAATAAACAAAGTGATAAAAGAGTCGACGGAAGAAACGACAACGAACTAATAAAAATAAGATAAGAAAAGAGGGGGAAGAAGGTCAACAGCTGACTTTCTGTTCATTCCCTTTTTTTGTTAAATGAAAAAATCCTTTTCTCCTTTGCTTTAGGGTTCTTGACCCTCGAAATCAATACACCACGCGTGGAGGGGAACGCGGGGAGAAAAAGTTGGTGACGAAAGGTGGCGCGCAGAAAAAATTTGTGTGTCACTGTTTATGTTTAAGTGTTTTTTCTTCGAAAAAAAAAACTTCTTCTTTTTCTTTTGGTTGGAGAAGTGCGCGCTCCGTGCGGCCTCCCTTTCGTTTTTTCTCTCTCTCTCTCTCTTTGTTGTTGTCGTTGTTGAGATCCCTGAGACACATTACGGGCGACAAAAATTATGCTTACTACTTAAAAATCTTTTTTTTTTCTTTTAAAGATTTAGCGTCGAAACACACGACGGCGAGAACACGGGCGAGGAGAGAAGTGGATGATGCTTTTCTTTTCTTTTCACCTTTTCTTCCTCCTTGAGTGTTAGGAGGACCACAGATACACTCAGGCGGAACCGCATCCACCACACCGTTGCTGCACCTGCACAGAAAGCTTTCCGCCCACCATAGAAGGAAACGTCAACGGTTATTCTTTTTCCCTTTTCCACGACGCTGAGACGTGCGGAGCAGCGACCCTTCGCTGCTTTTCCTTTTTTCCCTTTTCGTTCTAAAGTCATCGGATTAAAAGTAAAGGAGAACACAACCAAGCAAAGGGCAAACAAATCAAACCGCAAAAACGGTCAACGAGAGGGGAGGGTGGGCCCGTGCACCAGAAGAGGAGCACTACACATATATTTAAAGAACGAATTCCGTTGTGTACGCGTTCGAGTGGGTGTTTCTCATGACCTCCCCGCTGCACGAACACGCGCGATCCCGATCGAAGAGTCCCTCCCTCCTCCCTCCCCAAAACACACACGCGAAAACAAATGAGACCGCGAACGGCAAACAGGAACAACGACACACACGGCTCTTTCGCGTCTCCGTTCGCTTCACCTCGGCGCACGACTCAGTCAAATAATATATAGAAATCAAAAGTAGAAAGGGAAAGATAAAAAAAATTAATAGAAGCGATACGGGCGGGCTAGGGAGAGAGGGCGAGGCTGCGCCTGCGAGTACGAACGCACATGAAGGAAGACAATCGACACGGCGAGCCATCAACAATTATATCAAGAGCAAAGGAGAGCGAAAGGCAGAGAAAGCGAAGGACAGACGTGTGGGGAGACAATATATATATATAGCACAGGCTATACATCATAACAACCACAAAAGTAGGGGGACTTTCGTTGCTGCTCTGGCCCTCCCCCCGCCCCTGCACGCCTTTTCACTTCTTCTTCTCTTTCTCTGCTTATCAGCTGAGTTTCAAACAATTAAAAAGAGAAGGGAGGAGGAAAGGAAAGAGAGAAAAAAAAAGAAGGCAGGCTTTTAACACGCTCCGCTGTCGAAGTCAAAAAATCCCCAAACATACAACACACACAAGAACACACAAGTGAGGCAGAACAGACCGCCGCCTTCTCCGTTCCATGCAAGAAGAGGGGAGGAGGGGGGCGGGCGACAGAAATGGGGCGCTGTATCCTGCGCCGCCCAAGCCATTGCTGTCACGATCAGCGCTCCGGTCATCAATAGAAACACGCACAGAAGGAAAAAACGAAAAAGTCAAGGGGAGAGAAGGAGAAGAAGAGCCGAAAGGAAGCAACCACATCCACATCCACCCCCCCCCCCCCACCCACCACCAACGTGCGTGGGACTGGGAGCGCAAAAGCGAATAATAATAATAATGGCTATCATAACAGCCAGAAGCTGTCCACGGAGAGACGCACTCAGTTAAAAAAATATGAGGAAGAAGAGGAGAAAAAGGAAAAGCACCGACACTGTGCCGGCGACGTCGCAAGAAGCAAAATAAAATAATCAAAAAAAAAAGAAGTCAACAAAACAAACAAAAGGATATATATATGGAAGAGCCTGAGCCCAGGCGTTGACAGCGACGCACTCCACTCGCGCCGTGAGATAGGCAGAAACACACACGCCCACATACACAAACACACACCCAGCACATATGTATATAGATATGTATATAAATATCAAGGGAAGTGCGTCGCGTTAGTTAGAGGAGAATTAGGTTTTGAAGCGGAGAAGACAACACACACACACACACACACCGCACCATCACAGCGCAATACAAAGAATAGTAACAAGATAGGAGAGTTCGAGGGAAGGCGCCGGTGACGTGACAGCTCTCCCTTTCATCTCCTTCTCTCTTACACGCCTACTGCTGACGGCAGCCACCGCCGCCCTTTTTCTCTTCCGGGTGCGCCTCCGCCTTCACCGGGTCGTGCACTTCCGCCGCAGCCGGCTCGGACGCGGTTGGCGGCGGGGGAGCCGCGGCGGCCGCCGCAGCCGGCTCTGGCTCGCTCGCCGGGGCGGCGACAGCAGCGATGTTCGCCTCCGCGGCAGGAGCGGAGGGCGGTACAACGGCAGCCTCCGCCGCAGTCTCCGCAGGTGCGCCGTGGTGGGTATCCGTGTCCTTCTTGTCACCCTCCGCCGTAGTAGGAACAGCAGCAGTCCCCGCAGACGCGCCTCCCTCTGTGCGATCGGACGTGCCGGCCGCAGGAACAGGAGCGGCGGCAGCAGTATCCTCCTCCGCACGGCTGCCCTCCTTCTTCTTCCTGTCTCTCTTCTTCTTCTTGGCGCCGTCGTCGTCCGCGGTGGGGGAGCTGCCAGTCGTGGTGGACGCGCTGTCGCGCGGAGAGGCGGCGGCGGCGGCGACAGGGGCTTCACCCTCCGCAGACGGGACCGCCGCAGTGGCTGGTGCGCCTCCCTCGTCGTTGTTCGATGTGTTGCCGCCGGTAGGAGCAGCGGCAGCACCCGCAGCGGCAGCGGCGGCGGCAGCGGCGGCGGCGGCCTTCTTCTCCTTCGCCGCTGCCTTCTTCCGCGCCTTCTTCGCTGCCTCGGCTTCAGCTTTCTGCTCGTCCGTCAGCGGCGGCTTCGCGGCGGCGGCGGCGGCAGGACCGCTGTTGTGGTTGCTCGTTGCGGATGTCGGCTGCGCAGCGGCGGCAGCAGTGTTTGCCGGCACCGGCGAGGCGTTCGCGCTGCCCGCCGCATCCGTCTTCATGCATGCCGTGCACATCATCGACCCCTTATGCCGGCCTTTTGCCCCCCGACGCACCTCCTTAAACTCCCCGCACCCCACACAGAAGCCGTAGCCAAACTTGGACCAGCAGGAGTAGCAGTAGTGCTTGTGGTCGCGGCGGTCGACGCGGAGGTCCTCGCTCTGCTTCGACTTGTGGCACTGCGCGCAGCTGCGGCCTTTGTGCTGCTCGGCTGCGGCAGCCGCGGCGGCCACGCGAGCCGCAACAGGGGCTTTGCCATCCGACGTGATGGCTGGCGCCGTCGCACTGGCGGACGGCGGACTGGCGGCACTCACGGTGGAGGCAGGAGTTGCCGCGGTCGCTGCGACTGCCGCCCCGTGGTTCACCACGTGCAGCGATGGCACGATGCTCGCGAGCTCCTTCAGCTGCTGCTCCGTGCTCCGCGGCGACTGCGCGGGCGGGGTAGCGGTGACGAAGGGCTTCGCCGGGACAGCCGCTGAAACGCGAGACAGCATCGCAGAGGCAGACGGGAAGAGAGAACGGCTCGGAGCTCCAGCAGCCGTCGCGGCGACAACCGGTGCGGCCGCAGCAACAGCCACCACCGCCGCAGGCACCG